TCATATGTAATACATCCAGTGAATTGACCATATGTAATATAGCCAGTGATTGTGCAATGCTGTTGAGGGCAGAAACTAGATCTTCCCTCCTCTACATTAACATCTTAACTGTGCTCTGTCTGGCCGAATCAGCTTGAATTTGTGGCTGTGCTGTGTCTCAGCCTTAACAGGAAAAGCCTGTGAATTTGGTTATAAGGATACTCTCCTGGCAAATGGATGATATGGATTTCAACTCCCTTAACTTGAGGCTGCAGTTGAAGAGGATACATGTTTCCTACTCCCTGACTAAATGGTAGCCTATTGCATAAAGCAGAACCACTTCACCTGCAATTACAGAGCAGCTGTAAAAGCTTCTGGTTTATAAATCCCAGCTAAAGAGAAATACTCTACCATCCTGAAACATTGCACCAGATTTAGGGGTTGGGAGTGTTTCTAAGCATTTTCCCCACGTTTCCTACTGGCAAGCTATACTAGTTCTGATCATCTCTGTGAGACACCTTCCTTTCCCTCCATACTGTCTTGGGATCCTAGGCATCATCTCTGGTTCTGCATGCCACCCGAGGGACCAAATGCATAATTTATTAACCCCACCTCTTAACATCTCTTTGTTGCAATTTCTTCTTCTGAAAGTGGTGATGATAATTTCTACATCACAAGCTGACCCTTAACTGGAGCGTAACTGGAGACTGAAAGAGACTTTTGCTTTCCTCAGAAGCCAGAAGCACAGTGGTACAAGGTACTCTTATGCAGTGAAATAGTCGATTGCATCCCTCACACTTTTAGATGACCCACTGTTCTACACAGACCCTGCTACTAGCTGACCGGAAAGTATTGCGTATTTAAAGATGCAGAATCACTAAATAGAGGGTTGCTTTTCATCCTGCTAAGAATATAAAACAATACAAGCAAGAGTGGCCATATGCGATGTACACATCAAAAACATTTCGTTCAATTTATGGAAATACCTGTCTATTGTGATGTACACACTACCTGCTGATCTACACATTTCATCTAGCTGAAAAGGATATTATCTTTGTGAAAATGATGAATAACCTTTAAATCCATTGGGAATTACTGAAAATGAAAGCCAGACAAAGATGTGCTGAACCCGAAGAGAACCATTGTAGCTGAAGCAAGCAACAACCAGGATGCATCCCTTTCATAGCTCGGTATTTCTGGGTAACCATTTTGGTGCTTACGGCCAGGCAGGGATCGATACACCTCGGTGGCACAGCCTCACCCAGACTTCTGCCTGTGCACTGCAGCCCTCCACTCAAAAATCCTTTTCCCTGCTCTCTTACAGCTCTCCATCGCCCGAGTCTGAACAAATAAGGAGGCAACATGCATAAGGTATGTTGGGATGCGGAGAGATGTCTGTCAATGTCTTTGTTAAGCCTGCCAAACCTTTCATTTCTGACCCAATTCGCTCAGATTTGTAACAACCCCCTAGTTGTATATTAACCCCCTAGCTACATTTGCTGTCTGCATCGAGATGTCAGACAACCTGTTCGTCTTTTAATTGACTGGTTTGCTGCATCCTGGAGCACGTTGTTTACTGAAACGGGTAGAAAGCTCTAGGGAGAGCTTTCTTAACATACTCAGAAATTAAATAGGTCAAGCTGACTGGACAAAGACAATGGCGACCCGCATTTAGGAAATTGTTTTTTCCCCTCTCCCCTAACCTTAAATAATGCCCATCTTCTGGGAAGTACCACGGCAGGGGCCCACCCCTGGGCCGCGCCTCCGAG